CCCCACAATAACAACAACCCCACAATAACAACAACCCCACAATAATAGCAACCTCACAATAACAACAACCTCACAATAACAACAACCTCACAATAACAACAACCCCACAATAATAACAACCTCACAATAACAACAACCCCCAGACAACTCAGAGTCAGAGGGAAAGTCTGTAATTTAAAATAAAATATTACTTATAAAATGAATTATGTAAAAATATATGTATATAAACATAGATCAGGGCAGTTCATGTTTGTCACTAATAAATGTATATATTTTGCATGTACATGCACACATGTGCACATGTGCACGTGCTCACATACACACACACACACACACATACTTGTAATATTTTGTTCAGATGTGTAGTGTCACTACTGGCATGATCAACTATTCCCAGCATTAACACATTCTTCTACAGAAGGTTAGTAATGCCTATTTCTCAATGGTAAGAGTTTTTGTGCTTTTTTTCTTTACAACATTTGTAACAGTTTAGGAAAATGAATGAATACACATTATTTTTACAGTTAAGGGAAAGTTTTGGCTGACAGTCACCTCCTCTGTGGTATGTCTTCCTAGACTATCTTCTAGAGATGAGCTGACTGCATACTGCTGTGGGCAGCTCCCTCACCTCACATGTCACTACTGTTATAAGTCTTGAATGATATTACTTATTGTAATCATTGTGCCCTCCAATAAGATCAGCACTGACGATTCTGTCTCCCTCATTGGATCAGCATGATACTAAAGGATTCAGAGCTAGCATGTGAAATACACTGACATGGCAGTGACTGGTCCTTTAATAATAATAATAGTAATAATAGAACTTTATATCAGTTGTGTTACTTTTACACACTTGTTTATTCATGTATATGTGTTTGTGTACATGCATGCACACGTGCATGCATGGGCACCATCGTGTGTGGAGGTCAGAGGACAAGTCACACAGTCACTTCTCTCCTTTTACACGTGAGCACCAGGATGGAGTTCAGACCTTGGTGGCAAGTGCCTTTACCCTCTGAATTGTCCTGTAGGCCCAGTTGTTACTGTTTTTGTTTTCACTGGAAGTAGGACAAGCTAGCCAAAACCATGCTGGGGGAAATTGGGTAAGCATGTGGTATGTGATATGACAGGGAATTCCTTGGCCATGGGCCAACTTGTACACCCTATTATCTGTCATCTGGACATATATTCCCTGGCTATGTTTCCACTTCAGGCCATTTCTCCTCACATAAGCAGTGAATCCCCCATACCCCCAACACATTCTAGAAAGATTTTTTTTGTCTTCTCTTCACTTTCCCAAGGCCGGCATATGGCAGCTCAAACACCCAGTGACCCTTCATTAACCAGGCTCCAGCTTTCCCTCCTCATTTGTGGGGGAGTGGGATTTGAAAAGGAAGAGCTTTATACAGCATAGAAGTTCCTAGAAAGTCTAGGCCAGTCCCATAGGGAATTAACCAAAATGGACAAGGGGACACTTGCGTTGGTGAGGAGTGGCCTAGCTTGAGCTCCCCACAGACTCCAGTCACTGCCTGGAGCAGCCCAGGGAAAAGATGGCCTTGCAGTGTAACAGAAGGTGCCATGGCTGGAGGCCAGAGGATAGTCAGCTGGGCCCCCTGTGTAGGGTTCCCCCCCTGTGCAGGGTTCTCCCCTGTGTAGGGTTCCCCCCTGTGTAGGGTTCACCCCTGTGTAGGGTTCCCCCCTGTCTAAGTTTCCACCCTCCCTGGGCCGTCATTTTCACAATACACAAAAACTTTCTTCAAGATTCTAAAAGGACCTTGAGATAAAAGAGGCTGTTAATCCCCGCCATACAGTATTTTCAATGATTGTATGAAATATAAGATATCATGTTTTTAATATATCACCAATACCCTGATTGCCATTAGCTTATCAATAGTTTCAAAATAGTGTCAAATAAAATTACACTAGAATTTCTTGGTTTTTATTTTTGTTGTTTCATTTTTCTTCAGTTATCTTCATAAGATACATTAAAAAACAACCCTTTTGAGCTAATAAGATAATTTCAACATTTCTCCCCTTTCCCTTCCTATTCAGTCCTCCTTGATTGCCTATAAATTCAAGGGCACTTTCTTCATTGTTACACACATACACACACATTCACACACACACACACACACACACACACTCACACACAAATGCTCTGAGCAGTCTGTATAATGCTACTTGTATGCATGTTTTCAGGATTGACTATTTGGTATTGGACAACTAATTCTGTGCTCTTCCCTGGGGAAGACAATCTCTCTCCCTTTGAACATTCCTTACTGGCTTGTGTAGGGTTGAGGCCTCATGAGATTTTCTCCATCCAGTTTGGCACATCTGTTGGTGTGATCCTTGTTCAGCTCATGTTTGGGCAGTTGCTATGACTTGAAGGATTAGATTCTGGTTAGACTCTATGGCAGTTGATTCTAACATTACTAGAAGACACAGTCTCGCAGCAGACTCCCCGATCCCCTGGCTCTTATAATCTCCCCATTTGTCTGCGGTGTTCCCTGAACCTTAGGTTTGGGAGTGTATTGTAGATGTATCCATAAAGACTGGGCTCCACAACTCTTTGATTGTTTTTGTCTGTTGCAAAGGAGTAGTTTCCTTGATGAGGGGTGAACGCTACCCCTGTCTGTAGGAATATCTTAGTCAGGGTTTCTATTCCTGCAGAAAACATCATTACTGAGAAGCAAGTTGGGGAGGAAAGAGTTTATTCAACTTACACTTCCACATTGCTGTTCATCATCAAAGGAAGTCAAGACAGGAACTCACACAGGGCAGGAACTTGGAGGCAGGAGCTGATGCAGAGGCCATGGAGGAGTGCTTCTTACTGACTTGCTTCCCCTGGCTTCCTCAGCTTGTCTTTTTATAGAACCCAGGACTACCAGCCCAGGGATGGCACCACCCACAATGGGCTGGGCCCTCCCCCTTGATCACTAATTGAGAAAATGCCTTACAGCTGGATCTCATGGAGGCATTTCCTCAATGAAGGCTCCTTTCTCTGTGGTAACTCCAGCTTGTGTCAAGCTGACACACACACACACAAAATCAGCCAGTACAAGGAATAAGGATGAATGTTTAGATTGTTAGTAGGGATTATGCTGATTTAGTAAATTAGTGGCTACAGATTCTCCTCCAATTTCCATGGCTTCACTAGCACTGGGTAGTTAGCTAGGTTTCCTGTGCCGGGTATGTTTTCCCTCTTGTTGAGAGGGTCTTAAATTTAATTTGAGAGTGGTTGGTTACCACCAATATGTGTGAAACTACTGAACCCTTTAGGTTATTATACCATTCTGGTTGTTATTGTGGTTCATCTGTGTTATAGCTAGATCAGGTCAGTTCTAGCTCAGGGGCCTCCGGGCTCTGTTTCTGAAGTACATGGGCAACCAAGGGTAATGGCAGTAGGTTGTATATTTTGGAAGTCTTTTTGATGGCACTGGCCAACAACTCAAAAGAGGGCTTCTCAAGTCTGCCTAAGTACCTAAGTAGTTTTTGGTTCTTTGAGGGAGCATTGCATCCCAGATGAGAAATGTTCATTAAAGCTATAAATGTATATTTACACACAGAATTACATGCATTAGTTATT